TTTTCAGCCGCGCTACGCCCCCCACCCGATAACGAAGCTCATTATTCAGTAGCGCGCGTCAACGCATCGTCGGACCCTAAGAGCGTGGCGCCACCTCGTCTAGCCGCGGCGAATACGTATCCGCGAATTTCCGTGTGCTACTCGCGAGGAAATGAGCCGCGTCGCCTTTTCTTTATTTTCCCAGCGGTGGAGCGGTGGAAGTAGCGGGCGTCAATTGGTGTGGTGATCGCGAGGGAAAGTCGAGCGCGCCATTATCTCCGCGGAATTAAGTGGCCTTACTTTTTCCGTTGGCAGGGGCCAACGCCGCTCTTCTCTCCGCCCGGGTAACGCTCTTGGGAAAACGCCGTGGCCGCCATGGCTGCTAATTTATATGCCTTATCTGACCTGGTTAATTATTTTGCTACGTGGATTTATGCGACTCGTGACGTAGGACGTACGAAGGAGGTGCTGGATGATTCGCGACGTTGCGAAACTCGTGAATTCCTTCCTGCTCGTTTTTTATTATTTTTTTGTTTTCTATTGTGTGTAACGGGATGAGCGAAGGTACGGTAGCGTCGAGCGGGCTATTGGGGGTAGTGGGTGTCCCAACTTCTAACTTTAATGCCCGTAAGTCTAAATTTATTATTTTCAAAAAGTCAATCATCGAGCTTGATTCGTCGATAGATTCGCAATATGTTTTACAACAACGCGAAGTTGACTTAAAACTTTCCAATGCACACGTTTGAGAATATTATGAAATTTCATGTTACAATAGGAAATATTTAAGCAGGACTTTAAGATACATTCGAAACGATAAATTTATAATACGAATGTAAAAAGTTTATGAAAATAGTTTATTTGGTAAAGAAAAAAAAAAATAAATAAAAATAAATAAATGAAAACCTAAGAAAAAAGAAAATAAGAAAAAGGATTGGATTTGAGATTAGAGTGAAGAGTGAATAATCGAACGTGCAATTCAAATTATAAGAAGCTATTTCGGATTACTTTGTATATCGCAATGGCAATTACAAAATTATTTTCTCGCCTCTTCTTCGCGTCTATAGAATAGTAATGGCGCATTGAAGAAAAAAAAAAAAAAAAAAAAATTAAAAGCAAAATTTATTCGCTATTTATTTGACGTTATATTACGTAAAAAAAAACATTTGTAATGTAAATACGAAAGTATTTATATGTAATATAAGACAATAATTGGAAAGCCTTAATGTACATAGTGTGTATATTAATTAATACGTATTGTACAAATGATGGTAATATGTATGCTTTTCTTTTAATTATTTATTAAAATTTTTTATTTGTTTGTTTCTTCTTTTCTTTTCTTTTCTTTTTTCTTTTTTTTTTCTTTTTTTTTTCTCTTTATATTAGAGTAATTTAATTTTAATTATATAAACATAGATATTTCAAGGCTTTTTTCGATTTCCAAATACATGCTATTTCACGTTTTCTAACATTTCGTAGTTTGAAAGCAGCAGTCTCGGAATAAAAGATGCTAGAAGAATTAAATGTGACGAAAGAATTAAATGGAAATTGCATTAGTAATAACGAAATTAGGATTTAGCATGAAAAACTCCAGTAGCATTAATTTATAAAATCACTTGTTGTTCACCGGATTAGGGAATATATAAACCGTTTGTAACCATAGTAAGTAAAAGATTTATTTTGCCGCTGAAAGCGTGTGCTGATATAATGAAATTATGTAAAGGAATGTAAATATCGTTGTATCGCAAGTGCAACAAGTCAAGACTGACTTTTCGCTTCGCTTCATGCGCCCTTAAACTTTTACACGCCTACCCATCCACACAGACTAACGCACGCACATATCTCGATACACGCACATACAGTCAACAAACACCCTACATTAGCAACTAATATTTATCATTTCAGTCGATTATGAAAAATTCCAAGCTAATAATACGATAATAATTAAACAAAAAGTCTGATCATCTTCATAGAAAGGAACTCGGAAAATCGTCAGCGTGAAATATTGAAAATGCTTTATCGATACTTCTGAAGCATACTGCTTACATTAATGTAAACTTAATTACATTAAGCGCCTCTTAGACCCAAGTACTCTGGACTTTTTTTTTCAATATTTAAAGCGGGACAAATCCCGCTACAGGGCACCGCGAGAAGCCGATTAAGGATGCGCCCACGTTGCATCCGTCATAGTCTCTTTCCTCCGGGGAAATCTACCGCGTGCACAAATTACAAGATAGATAGATAGAGGGAGAGAGAGAGAGAGAGAGAGAGAGAGAGAGAGAGAGAGAGAGAGAGAGAGATGGAGAGATGGAGTGAGAGGGATAAAGACATAGATGTTGCGCGTGAGGTAGGGAGGAGCGGAGCGTCATCGAGCAGTCGTCGCGAGCCGAGGATTTTTTGGTTCAGCCAGGAAGCCGAGGGTTTTTGTCATCTCCCCCGGCAGGAGCGACGATGAGTGGCTCGTTCGTTTTTTTTTTTTTTTTTTTTTTTTTTGCGAGCTCGTGTCCGTCGGCTCCTACCTGGGCGCGTGTCCCTGATCAAAGGGTGTATCGCGGCACGCGGCACGCGCCTAATCTGCGGAATCAAATCGTCGCTTCCTCGCCCTCGTTTTTTCTCCCGAGCGACGTCTGCGTCGCGAAGGGAAGCCCAGCCGACGGCTCGCATCAAAGACAATGTTTAGCGCGCGGGCGAGAAGAGGCGCGCATATGCGGCGCACGTGCCGCCAGTGAGCTACGCCAGTCCTCCTCGAGCGTTAAACGCACTTTTGTTTGATAAATAACGGCTGACGTGGCGCTGCGCGAGAGTGCGATTCCGGGTGGCACTCGGGGCTGCAGGTCCTCGCGCGGCCACGGCGAGGCGTCCGATGGCGAAAATTCACGGCGAGCCGCTTCTTCTCGGTCGCTTACGATGTTTGCTGATGGAATCGCAGCGACGATAACGGATGCGCGCCAGCGGGGGATTTCGAGCCGAGAATCCGGAGATTTATGACGCTCGAGGATTTTGATAAAGCAATATGAAGGAGAAAAAACACGCGCGGCGCACTGATTTCTGCTGGCTTACGTAACAGCCTTAGGATAGGAAATTTTCTGGCTTTTCAGAGGCCGTTTTTATCTAGCGGCTGGCTTAAAGCAGCAGCTCGGTTACCGATTTCGCTAGCGAATTTCTATCGAGCCGTTTGATGCTAGAACGCGAGGTGTGTGGCTCGGGATTTCATTACTCGAGGTGTTCCTTATCCCGGGAATGTGGCCCCCGATGATTTTTGTCAATTATTCAATCACTACTGACAATTTTTATCGACGCAATTAGGGAGCCAAAGCCAGCTGTGCGTTGAGAAAGGGAGAGAGAGGGTGGTTGATCGGGCGGGAGTGGGGAGAAGAGAGCGAGCATATTTGAATATACAAAAGCGCTCGTAAAGTGTTTAAAAATATAAAGATTTGAGTTTGGGAAAGGAGGAGAGCGTTGACCGATTAGGGAATTTGCAATAACAATTGCCAAGTCATATCGAGAAAGGATGTTTATCAGTTCAGTCACTCTTGTGTCATTTGTCAATGACATCGGTAGCTTTCTTAGCAAATCGGGGCTTCAAGCTCGCCAAGTGTCGAATGAGACAGATCATCGACCAATCCTCGATCATTGAATCGACCGCCAGGCTATCGAAGGAATAAGTTTTTCGTTTTCCTTGACTTAGCCGCGATATCCTTTCGCACCAAACTCTAAATCACACGCCATTATACCGTTTGTATGGGCTACTTTCCGAGAATCTCTATTTGTTTCAACTTCCCCATCTATGCCGCTTTCCCAATAAGGAGCCGATAAGATAATCCATAAAGCAGATATTATTTTTACGGGAGTACAATTGCTATTTTTTCTCTTGTTTTTTTTTTTTTTTTCATTATTATTATTTTTTTTTTTTTCATTAAACAATAAATTGCGATATTACGGTCTATGAACATGGTATTTGTCACCTTATAGGGGAGATGAAGTTAACGATAAATAATAGTTTTTTGATAAATGGCCGTTCATACGGGAATTCGTAATAGCTGAGGAAATAACGCGAGCTTTGCGATAAAAATTGCATCAACATTCCTAGTCGAGCTCGCGGGTATCTGTTCACGGCGGCGTCATTGCGCAAACTAAAGAACATCGTTGTTGTAATTAAGAAAAGGTCGGGGCGCCCGCTAAGAGTTCGAGCACAGGACAGAGATAGAGAGAGAGAGAGAGAGATAGAGAGAGAGAGAGAGAGAGAGAGAGAGGAACTTATAGATGCTGGAAAGAAAGTGGTGTTGCGAGAGGATTACAAGGGGGTGGAAAAGTCGCTCGTGGAAAAACGCGCGCATGACAATGTCGCCGCCGTGGCCGCCGCCGCCGCCGCCGCCGCCGCCGCCGCCGCCGCCGCCGCCGCTACCGACCACCGACGTCAACAATCACGATAACAGGGTGACGGACAATGACAAACAGCAGCCTCGACGACGAGGACAGCTTCCTCGGCGGTCTCTTTGCAGTATCTAGACAAGCAGGACGAAGAGGACGGAAGCCGAGGATGATGTTGTGGTGATCGTCGATGGGATTAGATGGACTGACGGAGGGGGCGAGAAGTGGCGGTGGCTGCGGTGGTGACGGCGGCGGCGGCAGCGGCGGTGACGGCGGTGACGGCGGCCTAATTAACAATTCCACACCGTAGTGCGCGGCAGCGGCAGTTTGCCGGCTCGATTCGGAGGCGCGCTCGACACGGAAAACCTCGTCGCCTCCCGCCCCCACGGCCGTGTAAATATTAGCCCGCGCGGCCAGCCGAATTCGCTCCTCTTATCGCGTTCGCGCTTATCAGTCTATTATTTCGGGCTTCAGCGCAGCGGCTGGAATTCAGGCCGACTGTGCAAACAGCCCGCGGAGGACGAGTAAAAACATTATAATTAGCCGCCGTCGCCAGCTAAGCCTGCGGAGGCGCCGCGAGAGCTTGCGTGGCGATTTATAATTAGGACGCGCAACCGATAAGGGGGAGGGGGCTTATCACTCGGCACTCTTACCTTGGGCAATTCTAACAGCTGGCATTTTGATCCTCATGGTGGCAGGTCTCGCTGTGCCTGGCCCAGCTCGCAGTCTCCTCCAGCTGGGGTTGCGTTCGGAACTCTCGGCGGGAGTGAGGGTCGCCGGGGCGATCCTGCCTCGAGACTCGTCCACACTAGCGACGGCCGGCTCGTAACGTCTCTGGCTAAATAGTCACTATCCTCGGCTCTCTCTCTCTCTCTCTCTCTCTCTCTCACTCTCACTCTCTCTCTCTCTATCTCTCTCTCTCTCTCTCTATCTCTGTCCTGTGCTCGAACTCTTAGCGGGCGCCCCGACCTTTTCTTAATTACAACAACGATGTTCTTTAGTTTGCGCAATGACGCCGCCGTGAACAGATACCCGCGAGCTCGACTAGGAATGTTCGTTCTCAGCCTCTTTCATCCTCTCTCACCCCCGGTTCCTCATGTCACTGCTGGTGGTCCGCGGGGGGCGCGCGGTCGCTCCCGACGACGGCATATGTAGCAACGCCGACTACTCGGTCGGGATCCACACTGGTGCAGGCTCCTGCTGGAGGCTGTCGGGGCACCGGTCCCCGGTCGCGACTCGCGCCATCGATGCCTCCTCCGGATAACGACAGGTGGGAATCTCGGCCCAGGGGGATTGGGAGAGGAGGCAGCGGAGGTGGTGGTAGTAGTGGTAGCGGAGGATGGACGAGTTCCTGATGAAGACGAGGCGTGGAGGCAGGAGGTAAATGACGATGATAATAATGAGTCTGCTGATGATAACGACGATGACGATTAAACGAATACGAAGTTGGTGGCGAAGAAGGAGGAGGTGACGGAGACTAAGGAGGAGGCGGAGGAAGAGGAGGAGGTGGAGGAAGAGGCGGTGGTGGCGGCGACAGAGGCGCGTGCTCGTTTGATCGGTTGCGTGCGTGCGTGACTGCGTGCGTGAGTGAGTGCGTGCGTGCGTGCGTGCGTCTGTCAGTGCACGGGCTTTGCTCCCGGGTGGCAGCTCCAGTCGACGACGGGCGACTCGGTCCAGCGTGGGCCGTATCTCCGAGTGGACTGTGGCCGAACGCGGGCGCGCGGCGGCTCCTAACCCGGCACGTCGGGACCTGGTCTCGGGGCAGCACTGATCGCGACGACGGCGGCGGCGGCGGCGGCGGCGGTGGCGGCGGCTGCTGCTGCTGCTGCGGCGCACGACGGCGGCGCTCACGACTCTCCTACTCGCGCGTGTCTGCCCGAGCGCCGTGGCGCCGCTTCGGACGGCTTCGGCCGAGCTCGGCCAGCGGCGGCGAAGAGCCGAGCATCGGGGAGAGGGACCGTGGCGAGAAGAGAGGGAGCCGGACAGCCCGCCAGCGCCGGTCCAGGAGCCCTCGCCGCCTCGCGGGGTGGTTTGCGCCCTCGGTCGCCGCGGCCTCCCGACGTTCGTGGCTCGGCGGCTGGGGAGCGGCGACGGCGGCGGCGCGACGGGTGATGTTACGGAGAGGGGGGTGGGGCGGTTAGGTAGGTTGAAGAGCGGCCGGGCGGCCCGGCGGGAAAGGGAAAGCACTGCGAGTCGACGGGCGAACTCCCCTCGAGCGCAGTCGTCGAGACATGTGCTCTCCCTTGCTTCTTTGCGTCCCCTGTACCCTTATGGCCCTCTGCGTCCATGTGCCCCTCTTCAGCAGCCGATATCATCCGAAGCGCGGTTCGCTTAGGAACGACAGCGTCGATGTCGCTCCTGCTGCTGGAGGCAGCGGTAACGACGATGATGGCGACAAGGAGGTGGTTGCCGCCGTGGTGGACGGGGTAGTGGTTACGTTGGGTCGGCGGTGTAGGAGAGTGGACGAGATGAATGAGGGGTTGAGATAGGTAGGCGGTGGCGCCTGAGGGGGAAAGGGTGGAAAGGGAGGTGGAGGAGGAGGAGGAGGAGGAGTAGGGGGGGGGGGGGGGAGGAGGAGGAGGAGGGGGGGGGGGGGGGAGGAGGAGGAGGAGGGGGGGGGGGGGGGAGGAGGAGGAGGAGGGGGGGGGTGTGATGATGATGATGGATGCGAGGGAGGAGGGTGTAGAGGCGCATCGGAAGCTACGAGATGCACGGAGCGAGAGTCGGTCATCGGCAAAATTGTTTCCATGTCAATTGCCTGAGCGACGGGGCACTTTTGTTCTGCGGTTACTGACCACTTTTCTCATTTGGATTGGGCTTCCACTCTTATGCGCGAATGCCTACCTGCAAGAAACTTGCTCTCCCCATCGTCCTTCCCCGTCGTCCTTCCCATCGTCCTTTCCATCGTCCTTTCCATCCTTCTAAATATCTAGGCGTACCTTTTCCAAAAATCTGGCAGACTTTACTCGCTTCTGGCTACACGGTCAGCGAGTTACCATTATGTCTCAACTCCGGTTCGCAAGCAAATAGCGATATGGTTTTTATCAATTTTCGTTTGAACGAATTTCATAAAATTATTACACTAACATTCCATCAACTTAAGCATTATTAATTCAATCGTGATTGCTTATAGCTCTTGCTTCATTGCTTATTAGCGGGGGTGTGAGAGGATTATTAACGAATTTGTAAAAAAATCTCGTAAATCCCCTACCTGCTACCTCTGTTTTGCACCTTAACGAATTGGTAAAGTTAAATAGTGCATTGGTACTTTAGGCATTATTTCTTTATTCGCGTAGTACTTTGTTTAGCAAGTAAGAATGTATAAGGTATTGGATATCGTAAAGCGCGATGGCGCTCCTCGGCGATTAATGAGTAAAAGTAAGAAATAAAATCATACGAAAGCGCTCGAACCGAGCAAATAAAATTTTGTGGAATTTTTATTTTTAGGCCCGCGTTATTTGAAGCAAGTATGAATGGTTTAAAGAGATTTTGTAAGGCGGAAGATTGCTTAGTGGCATACGCTTGTAGAGTATCGATGTAAGCGATGGATGATGAGCGGTTTGCTAATAACGAACGAGCTGCCGTGACATTTTTATGCGCGGTGACCAAACACGCGATACCATTATTTCGTTAAACGAGTTAGGTATTTGTGTATTGTATGTTTGTAGTTTTTGTATTAATACGTAGTATGTAGTGTATAGTATTTAGTATGCAGTGTGTTTAGTGTGTTTAGCTGTGTAGCTGTGTAGCTGTGTAGCTGTGTAGTGTGCTCGATGAACGATCAAAGCCCTAGAAGCGATCGAACAAAGAAAGGAAAAATGTTCTTGAGAGTAATATAATGAGCTCGCAGGCGCATCTCACGAAGCTACTTAACAGCTGCAGCGACCGAGGATATCCTAGCGTGGTGGACTATTTTTATCTCCTAATGAGAACCTTTGAGTGGTTTTCTCGTACATCGCGGCGATGCCGAGGTCCGGCGCTACGACTCCCACTCCCTGGTCTTTGTAAATGCGTTGGTAGAGTCCGGCGGCGCGGGTAATTTGTATTTTCTCGCAGACGCTGGCCCTCTAATTTTCTTGGCCGTGGCTCCGGGAGGCCGGCCTTGACCTTCGGCCAAAGCGAAAATAAAGCGGACGTGGAGCGGCGACTTTCCCAGGCTCGTGGCTACCGAAACCAGCAGACGACACTCGAGGAAGGGCTCTCGAGGAAATTTATCCGTACGGGATTGGGAAACGTAACCGGGGGCCGGCTGTTACGTGTCTGCCGTCTCACTCCTTCGCCACGAGTGGACCTGCCTTCTATCTTTCGCGCCTAATCTCTTTCCTATGCCGGGGCGGCATGCATGGCGCATGGAATTTTTCTCGATTTACGTGCAGACAAGACTTTTCGACTTTGTCTGACCAAGCCGGGCATTGGTTGTAAATTGTCTTTTTCTATTATATAATAGTTCGTGCTTCGTTCGTGCTTTGTATACGCTTATTATCTCGGCTTACTCGTACGATACGAGCTTGTGAAATCCGTAATGTTGGCGAGTGAGCCTCGGTCATCGAGGAAAAAGCCTAAATTTCTCGACGGCCGATCTCCAACTCTGCCGACACCATACGTTATTACACTCTCTTAGACTCTCTCGCTCTCTCTCTCTCTCTCTCTCACTCTCTCTCTCTCTTTCTCTCGCACACACGCACGCACGCGCGCACACACAGACACATGCAGACATACACTCACTCACTCTCTCCCTCTCTCTCTCTCTCTCTCTCTCTCTCTCTCTCTCTCTCTCTCTCTCTCAAACAGGCTGCTGCATTAGTTGTGTACAATATAACGAGGCTAAGCCAATATATACGCACGATATGTGAATAGATTAGTCACAGGACGTCCGGTTACGTTTTTTTTTCAACCAAAGCCCAAAGTAAATTCCTAAAAAAAATCATAAACACTTTCGCTGTCTTTCTTGGGGATATTTCATTAAAAAATTACATATCTGTTTGATTTTTTTGCTCCCTTTATTTTCTTTTCTTGCTCTTTGTTCTGTCTCTTTTTAATCTTCCCTTTAACTTTATGTAACGAAGAGGAAAAGCCGTATGCTCGTGCACGAGGTTATGAGATGATATGATATTATAATTGTCAAATATGCGGGCTTGCAAGAGGCGCATCGCAACTGATTAAACATATTGGTCAGCGTGTCGGCAGCCGGGGAACGAGCGTGACTCTTTGCGCATTCAAGGCGTTGAGAAGTGACGGGAGCGCGACGACGAAAAATGAGCCAAATACGAGTCAAATGGGCGCGACGGCGCAAGAAAAAATATTTTTCGACCAGGGCCACGTTTGTTTGCGCGAGCAGGCGACACGAAAAAATCGTCGACTCTCGTGCGCGTGGGTCGGAGCTGAACAGACAGACACACGACGACCGTAGCTAATCGGTATTCCAACGGCGGTCGCTCTTCTTTAAGAGCCAGGGAGTTTTCCCGGGATTGTTTTGGCGTCACGATCGAGTTTGGAGTCGGTCAGCGAGCACCCGTCCCCCCTCTACGACGCTCGCTCGCTCTCACTCTCTCTCTCTCTCTCTCGCTCTCTCGCTCTCTCGCTCTCTCGCTTCTCCACTCTGCCTTACTCTCGCTTCCATTTGCCGACATGAAATTAGAGGCGCGAGCAGCACTCGCCTCGACAAAAGAAACGACTGTTCCTACTAACTTTTGAAAGCTTTGCGTGTGACGTACTTATTAAAGAGCTTTCCAGGCTACTCGATCTATCTTGTGTCCCTTTTCTCTTCCTTTTATATTTTAACGAAGATTATTAAGTATCGTGTGCAGCGCACCCTAACGCCTCGGAAACCTCGTTGATTATTAAATTTGTTCTTTGATCCATCCTGTATTTGCGCGTG